ACCCAGGAGTATTACCAAAGTAAAGTGCATATTGTGTGTGCTCCTAGACAGTGTTGGGTGCACAGTATCTGCTCCCATTGGGGTGGCAGAGCATCTCCATTCTGGAAAGAATTCAGTACCTTCTAGTCCCCTGGAGCAAGGAAGGAAATCAGCACAATGGAGACAATCAAGAGAAAACTCATGGTGTTTCAAAGCCAATAATGCTGTCCCTGTCATTCAAACTGCCAGACTGGTTCATTCCAGGACCTCAATGGCAATTGGCGCTTTCAGTAGGAGCTGGTTTATGCCAGTGTCACTGCCTCTATACTGGAGCTTTCTCTGGAGTGGAAATGTAGTTTAAGAATCACAGCGATGACCAGCCTGACATCTCTGATTTAGTTAGTCTATAAGGTGCAAACCTACCCTGCCTTCTGCCTGACTTCAGACTAACACAGCTAACTGCCTATCTTAACAAGACTATACCTGCAGAAGCTCCTATTGCTGAGCTGGCCTATCAACGGTATAAAAACCAGCACCTTTTGCTGGCAAAGGTACAGAGGTTCAACCAATGCCATATCTGTCATGCCAGGGTGCATATCAGTATTTCTCAGTGCACAAATCTACTTTAGTTTCCCAAGTTTCAGGGGTGTAGGTGGTAGCCGTTGGTCTACGGACATAGGCAGACAAGGTTATTTGGATAAATCTGATATCTTTTAGTTTCCCAATGCATTCCCCCCTTTAAGCACACCCCTTTAAGGAACACAGGAAATTCTATGTTATAGTCTTGACTAAGTGTTAGCATGTACTCTATGCTCACAACATGCTTTATTTGAAGAGAAACTGGATGCCACATATTATCACTACGTCTTGTGAACATCACATGTCCACTGACAATCCCTTTGCCTCAAATGCAGCAAAAGAAAAAAGATGTTTTGTTTGTCCCCAATAAGTAACAGCTCATGGGGCGCATCTACACAAGAAGTGCTAATGTGCAGTAGAATGAGTCTACTGTGTATTAAGCATCATGGCAAAAGCCACACTAATGCCCTAATGTGCAGTAAAATTAGTCTACTGCTCATTAAGTGTCACGAAAAGACTGTGCACCTTTGCTACTGTGCAGTAGCACTGGCTGCTGCACATTTATGTAGTACCACATATTAGAGGTACCAAACTTAATGTGCAGTAGCAAAGGCGCAGTAATGCACATGTAGATGCACTCATAGGGTCCTAAATCAAATCAATACAGGTCATAATAAGTTTTTAAATCAATTCCAAGGCTTGTCAGTGGAGATGCTTTCTGGGGATTGGACTGGACTGTGAGGTCTTGTGTCCAGGGCTTCCTAGTTACCCTTATTCCCAGGGCAATAATTCCCATTTGACCTCAGACAGATACTTTGTTATGTGTTTGTTAGGTCACTGCAAAAGAATGTCCAATGGACAATAAATGAAAAGGGAGAGACAAAAGGACAGGGGATAACAATGAGAAGAGTTACTAATTTGCAGAAGGAATACATTAAATCCTTAAAAATAGCCACTGCAAACTAATGGGCTACTGGTAAGGTGAAACATGAGGCTGAGAAAAACATCTCAGCTGTGAGTACAAAACAGCTGTGGCATGCTGAAACAGCTAGCTTATGGAGTTGATCCCAAGATTTTATAAATGTGGGTCAAACCTTTGGAACATCTGGGGATTTCCTCAGCTCTTGCTTCCCTCACTAGTATGAAAAGGAGTTGAAAGTCCTCAGGATTTGACACGCTGCTTTTCTTCAATGTAGTGATAATAGTAAAACAAAATAATAATACTTTCAATGTTAATTTTCTAAATAATTCCCAACACCTCCTAGACTCTTGTGATGACTGAAACATTTTACCACAAAAATGATTCACTAATACTAATCCTTATGAAGAAAAAAATCAACTGATGAAGCCAAGTTTTGGGGCAGCTAAATCAGACTAATCCTTTTAATTAAAAAGATTAAGCAGTTGTTGATGGCTAAGAGATAAAATGATTACAATTCCCATGCCTGTCAAATGTGAGGCTATCTGATTAATTTCTTAAAGAAAAAACAGTAATACTCAGTTTTCTCTCCTTATATGTTCTATGTGCCAAACTACTGAGGACTTTGGCATTTTATCATTTCAAAAACACTGGTCTTCTAGTGAGGTACTCTGTTGTTTCTCTGGAATGCAGGGTCAAGATAAGATTAATCCAGTCCCACTTACCTTCCATCTGAAACTGAAGATTGCCTAATATTTGCTTTTCAGATGCAACCTCGAGCTGCCAAAATAAGTGTGTGATATATAAGAATGGAGGGAGGTGCCAATAAAAATTTACAGGATCCCACCCCTGTTTTGTGATATCACAAAAGTGCAGCAAGAGTCATTATTGATTCACTGTATACATTAAAATGATATATTCTTTCCCAAAGCCTGTGAGCTTAGACGCCTACAATGGTAACTGGAACTTATGTCACAGGGGGAAGAGGAAAAGGGTGTCTGACCAGCTTTGTTCACTATGCAAATAAATCACTATCACTATCCATCTTTATTTTTTCTTAGTGTAATAGTGCAGAGTGTAATAGATGTTTAATGTAATTCCTTGGATATTAAAAGGCATCTTTGGTATCTAAAGGCCTAGTTATAATACTATATTGTTTTTCCCATCTGTTAAATTGTAACAATAGTATCAGGTAAACTCTTCTTCCCAGTCTTTTGGGGATTTCCACTTGAGTTCTCACTGACCATGGAGTGGGCCAGGATTCCAAGATGTACACAATCCATCTCCCTGTAAAGACTAATGACTTTTATAAAAGCAGTAGATAATGGTTCCTTGTGAAGCAACTCTACAAAAGTCAAAGAAGAAACAAACAGCAAAACAAAATGAAAACTGCAAACAAATAAATAAAAACAAAAGGAAAAGGCTCCACAGCATGTTCACCTTTACCCTGAAGACATCAGCTCTAGAGGTATTTGGCTCATCGTCAGTTATATTACATCAGCTAGCAAGAAACAAGGAAGTAACACCTGCTGGAATTGCATAGGAAAAAATCTCTTAGGGGTTTGAATGTTTGAATCATGATTGTTCTTTCTACTACATAAAAAAACCCCCACCACAAAGCAAATATTTAAACACAAACAAATCCTTTATTCTCCACCTGTTTTTCCCTTTGCAGGCTCAATGCATTTTATACTCAGCGTACTTATACATTAACCTTTGTTCCAGGGGAGACAATACCATGGAGCTGTAATTGTCAGGATTTGCTCTGTGGTGTTCTAGACTGTGTTGAAGATGGGTATAAGTATGTGTGAACCCACACAACCGAGATCCTCAGGGCTAGGCTACATGGCATGGATGCTACCTCTGTTTCACCTTTGGTAGCCAATTGAGGACTCCAATAGAGGCTTTTGCAGTGTCAGAATGATCTTCCCTGAGGACAGTTTATTGTCTTAGAGAATGAAACCTAATCCTTAAAATCCTACTGCAAAGGCCTCTTACAAATTCAATTTTGTCCCATCATGTGCCCCAAAACAACACCAGCATCCTCTG